GGGGCTGCCCTTGCTTCCTGTGTCAACTCATCTGTTGTCAATGGCTTCCCTGTATTTTCTATAGAATTGTCCTCATCAGAATCATCACTACTACTCCATATGTTACCATCCCACTTCTCTGGGTCCCAGTCAGGGGAAGTGAGCACAGCACGCACCCATGGCCCCCGATCACTTCGTTCTATTTTCTTTTGCCTGTGCCGAATAGTTCTTAGGCATACTTTTCAGCTAAAGTAACACATTCATCTCCTACCCTGTTCTTTTCAGTTTGAAGGTCAAGTAAAGCCTGGCGTTGTACTGAGTGGCTCTCACAGCATTCAGCTGCTCCTGCAATTTGTTGTTCTTTTCTAATTCTTTTTGCAATTTTTCTACAGTTAACTTATATGCAGTAAGCAGTGCACCCCCCATACATCCAGCACGTTCCAGACGACTGCTTGATTTAGTAGTAGGAATTTGTGTGAACTGCTTCCAATATTGCAATACCTCCACTGGGGTCTACTGTCCCCAGTATCCGGGGGACATCTTTGTACATGTTTCCCATTTATTCCATAAGGTATTCCATGGTTCCTGCCCCCATTCTACTAATCGACGGGGAAGAGCAGTGGTTTCCTTGGGTTCATTGCCACCTGCGGCTGACCCTCCTAACCACTTCTTCATCTTCATCTACTAAACGTTCTCACTAACAGGTACAGTTTCAAGCTAAACAGAACACCTATATACAAATCCACAAAATGTTGCTCTTGCATCACAAATGAATCTGACCTCACACACACATCATACACATGTATATACCAGCCATCAAACACACACTCTATAATAGCTCCAAATGAGCCCTCAAAAAGACATATCTATGAGTAAAACAGCAATAAAACCTAGTCCACCAAGTATCTGCTAGGCTTTGATTAACTCTACAACAAATACAATAGAATTTAAGAGTCCGATCTAACCTTATCTCCTGAATGCCTCCAAGTCCCAGGATATATTTTGTGCAGTTATTACACAGAGCTCGTACATATAATGAACAACTACAAAAGAGACAGATTTTAATTGTAGATCTTAAGTGGTATGATATATACACAATTAATTGCTCAGAACAACCTCCCATATAAACAAAACCAAACAAAACATATGAAACACAGACACCGGCACCCCTGGTGCCTACACAAACACAGAGGGTCAATTGAACCCTGTGTTTCACTCAACACACAGGGTCGTAGCTTCACAGGCTGTGCTCTCCACCTGAGAATCTCCCTCCTCACACAACTCAATTGGGGACACAACTCTACAGGCTGTGCACTCCACCTGAAGATCCCACCACCACTCTTGCAGGGACACAGCTTCATTGGCTGAGCACCCCAACAACAAATTTCCCCACACAATACAGCTTTATTCCGCCATGTATCCTGCCGACTACGCCAATTTTATGTACCAGTTTGTTAGGATACATGTCCAGAACAAAGACAAGTACAACGGAGATTCAAACACTACAAAACATCTTTCATTGTAGTGAGAGTAAAAAAAACTATTAGCAAAGAGAATCAAAGGCTAAAAAAGAATACAAAAAACTACCTTATCTATTGGCATTCATACAATACTATGAACAGCCTTTATTACAGTATTAGCTAATAAAAATGGAATTAGAGGGATACAATATTAACTAGTAAAAAGGGAAATAAAGGGATACAAAAAAAAGGATATAAAACGTTTGCTTTCCCCGTTGCTTCCTATCAATAAACTGTGCTTACCTACACAGACAGGTCAGGGCTACCAGGATCTGCAGCGGCTGGTCAGTACCCGTGCTTAGCAGGCATCACCGTGGAGCAGCACAGTGTGGATGGAAGGATGAGCATCGCTCCACCCAGCAGTGCTGACACCCCATTTTATCAGCTCTACATTACACTACATAGGGCCAGGATGCAGTATAAGGTGGTGCTTGAGTGGCAGCCAAACAGCGCCTGTTCATCACCTCATGGCAACAGTCTGCGCATGCCCTACTATAGGACAAGGGGAGAACGACCCCTGCCCACATCATCTTTCTCTCTCCATCACCTTCCTCACCCCTATGGATGATTTCTACCATTGTGTTTCAAGGGGATTTGTATCTATCTTGCAGAATGGAGCCAAGCCAAGGAGGAACTCAGCTCTGATAATAGGGGACATGCAGTTAACTTTGCTGAAGGCACAATGGGCCTTATAGTCAACTTGTACAATAAAGTTATCATGTACAACACTCTGGCTGGTTTCACACGCTATTATAACCATTTTCTCACCCCTCTATACTCCACTGATCATCTAAATCAAAAGTACCCCCCTTACACATTGTTACAGAACAGGACCTGGATAAAACCACTGTTACTACTACTGATGTACATAGTTAGTGTTTGTATAATAGCCCATTGCATGAACCAATGTTGCAAATGTTGGTCATCTCTTTGGAATAATATTAAGTGTAAGTAGTAGAGATTGGGCAGATCTTGAAGTCTTGTCCAGTCTCTAAAGCGGGGACTGTTGCCTTAGAGTTTTTTATTTTTATTTTTTGTAGATTTTAGAAGTAGTTGTGTAGCAAATGTAGATTTTAACGTAGCTGTATTATATCCCTTACCCTTAACACAGTACTTACATATAGCCAACCCTGTTACCCAGTTCCCACATCCCCTTAAATTCCATTAGCCTGTTTAGTCTCATTTTCAAGGTAGAATTCTAGAGAACAGTCTAAAATCTATGAAAGAAGATAAAGATATAGACAAAACGACCTTCAGGCCCAGAGCTTTGGAAAGCCTCCAAGGACTGCACGTGCTCCGAGGAAGATGAAGATGAGGAAGAGGGGGTCCTAAAACTCCTCCAGACTCAATTCCTGAAAGGTGTGCCTGGGGGCAGAACAGGGCAGAACCAGGGCAGTGGCTGGACAGGGACTGGATGGAAATCAGTATAAAAATTGTAACACCTGTGTTTGAAGGGTCATGCGTGGGTTTGTGTTCCTGGAGCCTGGAGGCTCCTTAAAACCTCTGCTGCTTATCTTACCTCCTACCTAATTTGGCCTGGAGTCTTTTTCCTCTGCAGCCTTTTAGGCAAAAACATGGCCAGGAAAAGGCTGCAGGTAAGAGAGGGAGCCCAGGCATTCCCAGGAGCAGGTGTCCCAGCAGCAACTGAGCTCAAGACTCCAGTGCCAATCCAAGACTTCAATGAAGCTGTGGCAGTTCCGTGCGAGAAGACCATCCGTATGTTGCTGGAAGAGATTTTGTGGGGACAAAGTCAGGTGTTCCCATCTCCAGGGTGTTCCCTCCTGCTGACTGTGAAGCAGCAGGATAAGGAATATCTCACACCTCCGATACTTCTGGGAAGAGCCGTGATCCTTGCCAGAGCCTCCCTGAGAATTACCAGAATCCAGGCAGAGGAACGCTGTAAACAGGTCTCGATGCTCTCTCATCTCTCTCACATACATCATGTGAGTATCAGCAGCCCCTGCTAGTACCTGATGGTGCAAAAAAGGACAGGAAAAGCTTGGAAGTAAATGAGGGAGCCTGTGCAATTCCAATGAGGAATTCCCAGGAGCAACTGACAGGACAAAAGTGTCCAGGAGCTGCCACTGTGCAGTCCATTGACCCAAGGATGCTGCCAGATAAAAGCATGCTCAGCACGGTTCCGGACAAGATCAGTCAGAAGTAAAGAATGTCATTCCCATCTCCAGACTGCTCTCCTGATCCACCTGTGGAGGACCAGGATAAAGACTACCTATGAACCTCCACGACTTCTGGACAAGAGCTGCCACTCTTCCCAGAGCCTATGGCAGAGATGTTGCATTCCACAGAGAGGAATCCCTGTACACAGGTCTCCCACCAGCAAGTTGCAAACCTGAAGGAATCCTTGCAAGAGCAGGAGAAGGAAGATTTCTCCACTGCATTTATTTTCTGACAAGGAACTCCATCCCTGGTAGAGCCTCTGGGAGACCTGCTGCAGTCAGACACAGGAGCCCCTCTGGACAGGTGTCCCTGCTGCCTGGGAGGGGCAGGAAACAGCAGAGCCCGCTCCTCCCTGAGATGCACTTGGCCAGGCAAAGTCTGGAAGAAAGAGCGGGAGCCCAGGCCACTGCAGTAAGGCATTCCCAGGAGCAGCTGGTGGCACAGCAGCAAGTGTCCTGGAGCTGCCACTGCCCAATCCTGGCTTCCCTGGATGCTTCCATATTAAAAGAGGCTATGGGTAGTGCGGGACAAGATCTCCCCGAGGCAAAGGCATAGGTTGCCGTCTGTGGATAGGAGTTCCTGCTCCCTTGGAGTTGCAGCTGTCAGCAGAGGCTGCTCCTGGCTGAACATGCACATGGACAGGAAAAGGCTTCAAGGAAGAGTGGGAGTCCAGACCATTGCAGTAAGGCATTGGCAGGAGCAGGTGGCCCAGCAGCTCCTGTCCCTGAGACACCAGTGCCCCAACCATGGCTCCCAGGAAGCTGCAGCGGTCATGTAGGAGAAAACCCTTTCGTGTGGCACTTGACAAGATCTTCCTGCGACGAAGGCAAGTGTTTCCAACTCCAGGGCTGTCTCTTGAGTCTCCTCTAGATGAGAATATCACACATTTATCTCTGCACTGCTGTCAGTTCCTGCAATAGCCTCCTTCCTTCCCAGAACATCACTCTCCTCATAAAGGCCATGTCCTCATAAACCCCATAAACATTGTTGCCTAAAAGGCTGCAGAGGAAAAGACTCCAGGCAAAACGAGGTAGGAGGTCAGAAAAGCAGCAGAGGTTTCCATGAGCCTCCAGGCTCCAGGAATACAAACACACCCACGTCCCTTCCAACGCAGGGGTTACAGTTTTTATAATGATTTCCACCCAATGCCCGTCCCGTCCCCGCCCGGGTTCTGCCCCGCTCTGCCCCAGGAACGCCCGTGGGGAATTGAGTCTGGGGGAGTTTGGAGCTTTGAGCCTCTGCAACTACAACTCCCGGCGTGCCCCGCGCGGAAAAGGGGGCGGGGCGGGGTCTCTGCCGGCGGTGCGCGCGCACAGCCCCGGGGTGGCTGCCGGGAAAGCGATGGCGGCGACAGCGGGATCTGCTCCGACTTTGTGAGCCCTGGCGGGGGCTGCGGCGGAGCTGGGGATGCGCTCGGGGGCTGCGGGGAGCGCGGCTGTGGGCGGGAAGGCTGGAGGGCTCAGCAGAGTGGAGAGGAGGGGCTCGGGGGTTCCCGAGGAGGGTTTGAGTTCCGTGAGGGGCTCCCGGGGGGTCGCGGAGGGGATTTGGTGTCCTGAGGGCGCTCAGAGGGGAGGGTGAAGGTGCCTGAAGGGGTTTAGGGGGTCCCTGAAAGGGCTGGGGGCCTCGGAACCCTCGGGGGGAGGGCTGTTTAAACGCCATGGCTGCACTGCGCAGGCGCCGGTGGAGTTTCCACGAGGGAACTTCACCTCCCATAAGGCCTCGCGCGGCGCCGCCATTGCCGCTCGTGCCACAGCGCCCCCTGCCGGCTGGGCGGACCGACCGCAGGGAAAGCGGGTCCTGATGCCCCCGAACCCCAGAGACCCCCAAAACTCAGCACACAGAGACCCCACAGGGAGGGGGACTCAGGGGTCCCTAAAGCCTATCAGTGGGGTTCAGGGGTCCCTCAGCCCTCAGGGAGGGGTCCTGGCAGTGCCACCCAAAGTCTTGGAGGGACATGAACCACATGCGGGTAAGGGATCCCAGTGCCCCAGTATAGCCCAGTGACCTCCCAGTGGCTCTCAGTATGGCCCAGTAACCCCCAGTGACCACCCAGTGTTTCCCAGTGACCTCCCACTGCCCCCAGTATGGCCCAATGATCCTCCAGTGAGCACCCAGTAACCCCAGTATGGCCCAGTAACCTCCCAGTGTCCCCCGTGTGTCCTGGTAATCCCCAGTAATCACCCAGTCCCTCCCAGTGCCCTCCCAGCATCCCTCAATAACCCCCAGTCCCTCCCAGTGCCCCCTGGTTCCCCCAGTGTGTCCCAGTATCTCCCAGTAATCACCCAGTGCCCCCAAAGCCCCCAAGTGTCCCCAACGTGTCCCCAGATGCCCTTGGCCTTTCTGTGAGTTTGGGGGATGGGGCCATTTTGGGGTCAGAGGGTCCAGGGGGCCTTCTGGGGGAGATGGAGGGTTGGGGACATCAGGGATGGGGTTTGGGGACAGTGGGGAGGGGTTTGGGGACAGTGGAATGGGGGGTGTCAAGGGGGAACTGGGGCCATGGGGAGGCCCTGGGGACATTGGAGACACCAGGGGGTCTCGGGGTGCCAAGTGGGAAATTGAGGACAGCAGGAGGGTCTTGGGAACACCAGGGGGGTCTCAGGACTCACCTGCTCGTGGTGCTGCTTCTCCTGTCCCTTCCAGACCCCAATAAGGCCCCCAAATGTCTTCTAACCCCCATTTTTCCTTTAATCACCTCCCCCTCAGATCCCTTTTACCCCCAATGCTCCCAAGACCTCTTTTAACTCCCCAAATGCACCCAGAGGCCCCCAAAATGCCCCAAATCCCAATCAAACCCCCAGCAAAGAGGGATCACCTGGCACCCTGGGACAGGAACACAGTGGGCTGTACTGGGGGCACTGGGCTGTACTGGGAGGGCACTGAGGGGCACTGGGCTGTACGGGGAGAGCCCTCATCCCCAAAGCCCCTCCCCTGGGCATCCGTGCCACGGTCTGGGAACCACGGCGGGGTTGGATCAAGGGGTGCACTTGATGATCTGGGAGGTCTTTTCCAAGCCGGCTGATTCTGGGATTCTCTGGGTGCCATTGCCAGGGCAGCACATGCTGGAGGCTCTGTCCACAGGGGATAGATGTGTCTGTGCAGACAGAGAGACAAGGTCAGTCTGCAAAGATGTGGGGTTAGAAAAGCAGGAGAAGTTGTGGGGTGGTTGTGGAAGGAGAAAGAAGCCCCCAGGCCAGTGCAAGCAGGCCCCTGGGCTTGCACATCATCTGCCCTCCCTGCAGGTTCCTGTGCTGGAGAGCAGGCCCTGAGGTGTCCCTGAGCAATGGCCCGGAGGTGAGCCCAGAGCTGGCCCTGAGGTGGCCCTGAGAAGAAGTGGAAGGCAGAGGTGGTGCTGAGGCAGGAGAGCCCCGTGCTGGGGAAGAGGCTGAGCTGGGAGTGCCCAGCAGCGAGAAGGTGCTGTGTCCATGCCCTGTGTGCCAGGTGAGCTGGGGCTTTGCTGCAGAGCTGCGGGCGCTGATTGGAGCGGCTGCAGCTGCTGAGCTGGTGGCACCCAGGAACACAAAGTGTGCCCGGCCACGGAGCCTGCAGGGAGGAGCAGGGACAGGGTCAGGGCCACTGTCAGCCCGGGGCTGGCTGGGCAGACACAGCAGTTTTGGGGTCCCCCTGGGAGCTGCCGAGGGTGGAGGGCGGAGCGGGCGATGCCGGAGCTGGGGACCCCGGCAGGCTGGAGGGGAGCACGGAGAGGGAGGAGCCCGGGACCCCGGGAGCCTGAAACGGGGGAGCGGAGAAGGGGAAGCCTGGAGAGTGGGGACCCCTGGGATCCCTGGGACAACAAGGTGGAGAACCTGGAGAGGGGGAATGTCTGGGAAGGCGGCACCCCGAAGGTGAGAGTCAGAAGAGGAGGGACCCTTGGGACCCCCAACACTCCCAGCATCCCTAAGTGGGACCCCAACATCCCAGACAGGGAGACCCTCTGAACCCCAGAGGGAGAGACCAGAGAGGGGAACTCCTGGGAGAGATTTTTGGCCTAATCTTCAGATTTTGGAGTATATTTCAGCTGAATCTCAACTATTTGCAATTTTGGGGGCAAGGGTTTTCTTGCTATTTCTGACGGGGTTTTGCTTGAATCTTGGTGGTTTGGGTTTTTCTGGGCTGAATCTTGGTGTTTTGGAGGTCTCCAGAACCCTGAAGTTGGGAGATGGGGGAACCTTGGATTGCTGGGAGCTCCAGCAGCCTGGAGAGGGAGGGCAGGGACCCTGTAGAGGGGAGACCCCCAAATACACACGGGACTCCCAGCAGCCCAGACAGGGGGGACCTCCAGAATCCCAAAGTGGAGAGAACAGAGAGGAGAAGCTCCTGGATGGGTTTATTTTGGGCTGAATCTTGGTGTTTTGGAGGTTTTATGGTCCCAGGATGCCCGGTGAGTTCTAGAGATGGACTTGGGCAGGAGGAACCCCCAAGCCAATGCGCTCAGCCCTTTTTCCCCCCAGCAGGATTTGTCCTTCCCAAAGCTTGGGCGGATGGAGGAGGAGGCTGCGAGGAAGAGGAAAAAGCCGCGGGCCCCCCAGGCAGGTGAGGAGGAAGTCAGTGCCCCTTTGGCCCTGTCTTGTGGTGCCTATGGGGGCCAGAATTGGGGGGGATGTCCTTGGCCTTCCCTCTGGGCCGGAGGCAAATCCCCTGCCTGTCCTTCTTCCTTCCTGCCCCAGGCCCCGAGCTGAGGACGGAGAGCACGGAGGACAAATCCCCGGCAGAGCCTGGTGGGAGAGGCCGTTTGAAGGGCTCCCGGCGCAGGAAGGCAGCGGGGAGGAAAAGGCCCGGAGATGCCCCCAGAGGACGGGCTGCAAAGCCAGCCCAGGGAGCTCTGAGGAGGAAAGACCCGTCCTGTGCCGGGAAGGCGGCCAGAGCTTGAGCCGGAGCTCCGAGCTGGTTGTCCCTGAGCAGCCTCCCAGCAGGGAGAAGCCCTTCAGGTGCTTGGAATGTGGGAAGAGCTTCAGGAAGAGCTCAGACCTCCTCAGCCACCAGCACATCCACACTGGGGAACGGCCCTACACGTGTAGGGAATGTGGGAAGAGCTTCAGGTCAGACAGCTCCCTACCCTCCGATTCAAGCCACCAGTCGCATCGCACACTGGGAACGGCCCTACAAGTGCTTGGAATGTGGGAAGAGGTTTCAGACCAGCTCAACTCTCCTCGTGCATGAGCGGACACACAAAGGGGAGAGGTCCTTCCGCTGCACCGACTGCGGGAAGGGCTTCAACCGGAACTCCACCCTCGTCGCCCACCGGCGCATCCACACCGGGGAGAGGCCCTACAAGTGTGGGGAGTGTGGGAAGAGCTTCACCTGCAGCTCTGCCTTGACCAGACACCAACGGACCCACCAGTAAGGGAAGCCCCTACGAGTGCCCCGACTGCGGGAAGAGCTTTGGCCGCTGCTCCCACCCGGAATGACCCCCCTGATGGTGAGGCAACCCCTGGAGTCCAGTGACTGTCAGTCCATCCCTTTCTACCAGAAAGGGCCAGTCCCCTTTCCCAGGGGCAGGTTGTGCCAACAGAACCCTTCTTGGGGCTGTGTGGAGATTCCTGCCTTGGCTGGGACCCTCCCAAGGTCACTGCTGGAGGTTGAGAGCAGAGATCTCCCCACGAGCGTTGGTCTGGGGGAGTTCCATCCATCTCTAATTCATAATTCTTGCTTTGGTGCCAGCTTGAGTAGAATTGCTTCAACAATTGCTTTAGTGTAGAGCACTGTCCTATCTTACGCTGTCCTACTGGTAGTTTTAGTGTTTCTATTGTGCAGTAAATAATTCTGATGAAGATCTTTTGTCTGATCATTTGTAACCCTAAATAATTCATTTCTATCAATAGATTTGATTTGCCATCATTAAAACCTGGGGGACAAAAGTGGTTCAGTCCCACCTCTGTAATTCCTCTAAACTGAAAGTGTTGGCATAACCCAAGGCTGAGATTGGATCCAGCAGCCCCAGCACCCCACAGTCAGTTGGGAGCTCAGGGGACCACCCCGCTTTCCCAGCACTTTTGGGCCCAAAGACCTCCATGGGACCATCGGACCTGCCAGACCACCCCCTTTTCCACCCTTCTCCCTTTTCCTTCCACTTTTCCATTGTCCCTTCAATCCCCAGCCCCTCCAAGATCAGTTTTGTGGTCCCAATCCCGACATTTTCCCTCCACACCCCTTCCACATCATCCCCCACTCCCCAGCCCCTCATGCTCAGTTTGGGGTCCCACTCTGCCCTTTCCCCACTCTTCTCACCTCTCCCACCCATTTCCCATGAACCTCAGTCCCTCCCCTCCACTTTTGGGGGTCCCACTCCCCTCCCACTCAGTTTGGGGTCCCACCACCCCTTTTATCCCCTCTGACCCCCCTTTTCCCACCGACCTCCCCTTCCCACCCCCGCTCACCCGAGAGCTCCTCGCCCGCAGCCGGGGGCTCCCAGCACCACCAGTGCCCAGAGAAGCCCCAGAAAAGGGGTTGGGTGGGGTCCTGGATGGGCTCTGAGTGTGTTTGGGGGTCCTTGAGGGGCTGTGGGGAGGTTTTGGGGGTCCCAGCGCTTTTTAGGGTGAGCTGGGTGCCTATTGAGGGGCCGGTGCCCTCCCAAAGCCCCCCAGAGCGGGGTGACATCGGGGGGAACACAGGGGGGTCCCCATTCCTGATCCATCCCAGGGCTGGTTCTGCCCCCCAAACTCGGCTCCACCCCTTGGGATCCTCCAATCCCCCCCAGTGCCCCCCAATAACCAGGACTGGGGAGAACTGGGAAGCTGCCCCCCAATAACCAGAACTGGGGCAACTGGGATCATACTGGGAGCACCTGGGCCCCTGTTGGGATCGTACTGGGATCATACTGGGAGTGACTGCAATAATACTGGGAGTGTGTGACAGGGACTGCAGCCATACTGGGGATGAGTGGGATCGAACTGGCTTTGTACTGGAAGTGTCTGGAAGTTCCTGGGATCATAGTGGAGGTGACTGCTCATACTGGACTCATACTGGGATCAGACTAGGATCATACTGGGAGCAACTTGTTCCATGCTAGGGGCAACTGGGAGCTCTTAGGATCCCACTGGGAGCAACTAGGACCATACTGAGCACAACTGAAACCATCTTGGGTGCAACTGGGCCCACAGTGAAGGTGGCTGGGGTCATACTGGGAGTGACTGGGAGCATTCTGAGGGCAGTTGGGACCATGTTGGCCCAACTGGAATATACTGTAGGTGACTGGGATCATACTGGGAGCGACTAAGACCACACTGGGGATGACTGAGAGTGGCTGTGAGCAACTGGGTTCGTGCTGGAAGCTACTGGGAGCAACTGGGAGTGAGTGGAACCACACTGGGGGCAACTGGGATATACTGGGAGAGACCAGGAGTGACTGGAATCATACTGGGACTGACTGGGAGCATACTGGGAGTGACTGGGAGCAGGCTGATACCAACTGGGAGAGACTGGGAGTGACAGGGATCCTACTGGGAGGGACTGGAACTGTAGTGGGTGAGTGGGAGCAAGTGGGACCCTGCTGGGGGCAAATGGCTTTATACTGGGAGTGACAGGAAATGTCTGAGTTCATCCTGGCTGTGACTGCCACCATAGAGGGTGTCACTGGGATCATACTGGAGTCATACTGGGAGGGACTGGAACTATAGTGGGGTGACTGGGGAGCAACTGGGACCATGCAGGGAGTAACTTAGATCCTGCTAAGAGAGACAGGGATCCTACTGGGACTGACTGGGAGCATGTGGGAGGCAACTGGGATATACTGGGAGTGGCTGGGAGGGACTGGGATCATTCTGGGAGTGACTAGAACCATAGTAGGGGTGAAGGGGAGCAACTGGAATCATGCTGGGGGCAACTGGGATCATAGTGGGAGCAGCTGGGCCTCTACTGGAGTCATACTGGGGTCTTACTGGGAGTGACTGCAATAATATTGGGAGTGTGTGGGAGGGACTGCAACCATACTGGGGATGAGTGGGATCAAACTGGATTCGTACTGGAAGTGTCTGGAAGTTCCTGGGATCATACTGGGGGTGACTGGACACATACTGGGATCATACTGGGAGCAACTGGAACCATGCAGGGGCAAATGGCATCGTCCAGGCAGGGACTGAAAGTGCCTGGGGCCATCCTGGGCTCAGACTGGGAGTCCCTGAGAGGGAAAAGAACCATCCTGGGTGGACTGGGAACAACTGGGACCACCTTGGGGGCAACTGGGATCCAATTGGGAGTGACTAGGAGTGACTGGGATCACTGTGGGAGTGACTATAAGGGACCAGGATCAAATTGGGAGTGACTGGAACTATGCAGGGGGAACTGGGAGCCAGTGGGGCCATGCTGGAAGCCAAGTGGGAACATACTTGGAGCAACTGGGATCATGCTGGAAGCAACTGGGAGTGACAGGATGCATGCTGGAGGCAACTAGCATGAACTGGGAGTGACTGGGATCACACTGATGGGAACTGGGACCATCCTGGGGCAAGTGGAAGTCACTGGGTGTCAGGGGTTTCTGTGGGTGGGTTTTGGTAGCGAGGGGGGGCTCCAGGGGTGGCTTCTGTTGGAAGCTGCCAGAAGCTTCCCCTGCCCCGTGGAGCCAATGCCAGCTGCTCCAGGACGGACTTGCTGCCTCTGGCCAAGGCCGAGCCCATCAGGAGCAACAGGAACAGCTCTGGGATAACAGATTTAGGGCCAGAAGGAATTGCAGCCAGGGAAGAGCAGAGTGGGAATGTGGGAACAGCAATGCAGACCCCAAAGGTGGTGCAGAAGGAGGGGCAGGAGGTGCTCCAGGCACCATGGAGCTGCAGGCCCCTGCAGCCCCTGGGGAGCATCAGGGTGCAGAGACCCCCTGCAGCCCCTGGAGGCTCCCACGCTGGAGCAGGGGATGCAGGAAGGAGGCTGTGACCCAGGGCAGGCCCAGGATGGAGCAGGTCCTGGCAGGGACCTGCAGCCTGTGCAGAGGGAAGCCCAGGCTGGAGCAGGTTTTTCCCAGCAGGACTCGTGGCCCCTGTGGTGGGACCCACGCCGGGTCAGCTCATCCCTGAAGGACTGACCCCATGGAGGAGGGACCCACGGGACTGCAGGGTGGGAAGAGCTGCTGTCCGAGGGGTGGACTCACTGGAGAGGTCCATCCAGGACTGTCTCCCATGGGAGGGACCCCATGGGAGCAGGGAAGGATCCAACTCCTCTCCCTGAGCAGTGACAGAAACAACAACTGACTGTAACCCCCATTCCCGTCCCCTGCACTGCTGGGAGGAGGAGGGAGAGCTGAGAAGGAAGGAGGGTGGAGGAAGGTGTTTTTCAGACTGTTTTATTTCTCCTTCTTTGGCTTTTATCCTGTCAGTAATAAATTTAAGTATTATCCCTACTTTGAGTCTATTTTGCCCTTAGTAAGTGACTTTCTCCAGACTCTTATTTCTACTCAGGAATCCTCAGCTGTTTTTTTTTCTCTCCTCTGTGGCTCCTCTGTGGAGTTGCAGAGGGAGGGGGAGGTAGCAGCTTTTAGTGGGTGTTTGAAATCCAGCCAAGGTCAACCCACTAAGCCAACCCCTATGCTTGAGGGCTTTTTGTGATGTCACAGCCTACCCTCTCCGTTCCAGAATAGCCCTTGGCAACCAAAGAACCAACGCCCCACAAGGTCAGAATGCAGCCCCACCCCTGTGCCCCTTTAGGATGTCCTGGCCCATCCTCTCCATTCTGGAATAGCCCCTGGAAACCAAAGAACCAACGCCCCACACCCCCACAGTGCAGCCCCACCCATCTGCCATG